ATTTATACGGGGATTTTAAGCGACGCAAACGCGTCAACAACTCCCACACAATAGAGAAACGAATGTCACCAAATATATCCAAAAATCACGTTTTAATGAAACAGAAAATGAACGTAAATTTATAACAATATTTCAACGGTAGGAAATACGAACTCAATATAAACTTTCTTTCCTAAGAATAAACACTAGTCCAGCTAAATTTGTCATTTACTGACAGTCCGAAAACGGGCGTTTTCTTGGAGCTGATGTTGTGGCCGCTGGTAGAGACACGTTGATTTCACAGTTGTTAAAAACTGTAGTCGGTGAACGAGAAACAATTGCTTGACAAGAAGCAGTTTGGTTTACAGTTCAAGATTCTGGCATAGCTCAACTAAGAATATCTGAAATGCGCCGATGATCTTCCGAGGAGACAGTGTCGTCACAGTCAGCTGGCATCGTCACAGTCAGCTGGCATCGGCGTCACTGGGTGTATCTAGCGACACTGATGCCAGCTGAATGCGAGTTTCGTAGTACTGTAAAAACCTGACACGTTTTTGAGACCAGTTATCTTTATGATTGGTTGTGATGGAATGCCGGTTTTCGTCAGGGTAATAATGAATTCAACTGGTATTTCGGTATATTTTCCATTTACCGAATAATATCGTCAGCCGTTGTTGAAGCGCAAACTCCAAATTACGCGCGATGTTTGTAAACAGAAAGTAGTTTCCAGGAAATAGACGCGTTTACCAAATATGGTAAACAGGGCCCGGGCATGATATGGAAAATTATTGCACGGCTCGCGCAACGGGATCCCCATAGCGTTACGTGGCTGGGCAATACTAGGTATATGATAATTAGAGAAACTGCATCACCCCACCAAGCAGATATGCTGGAAATGCATCAAAACTAACCCCAGGGACCAGGGCTGGGTCGGAAATGCAGACAGGCCCAGGCAACCCCAACAAACAGTACAAATGGTGCAGAGAAGGAGGGGACAGGTTACGCAGACAAAGGAAAAGAAACCAGATATAGAAGGACCAGATATAGTGACCCTCCAGAAAATTAGACCACTGCCTACCATACATGACTATATATAAGCCTGTATTATTGAACCAAGTTGTAATTCCTAGACCTCAGACGATATTATTATGTATGGCAGAGATGCAGATGAGGAGTTAGAGCGTTTGCAAAAAAAATATTGGACAGATTGCTGATAGCCGGGTTAAGACTCACGCCAAAGAAATTTAACCTGTGCAGAACCAGTGTAATGTTTCATAGTGTCAAACAATGGCGTAGCGACGAATCCTGACAAAGTGAGAGTGATAAAGGAGTGGCCAACGGCAAAAATCTTGACAGATGTAAGAAGTTACTTGGGGACAGTGACATAATACTGCCGGTAGGCAGATGGATTTGCCAGGGTATCAGTAGTTTTGCATTTTTCTAGAATGTAATAATGGACGACAGTCAAGAGCTTCTGCAACACAACAACGAGGAAATACAGGAGTCTTGCTTGCAGAGGAACGCTGGTATTCTGGAAAGCTCACTGCTGAAAACAGGAGATCGCAGAGCAGTTCACATGAGCCAATCATAATGCGATCTTGTTAGGCATAAACATCTATTGTTATTCAATTAACAGCACACCTGGTAGATTACAATTATCCTTCCAAAATAGTAAACACCATTTGTTATGTTAATCACAAGCATACTTGGTAGATTTCAACTGTCCTTCCACAGTATGACAGTTATCACAATGCACACCGTTTCTCCCCATGATTCCATGCACCCTTCAATTTGCAGGGTTTGAGGTAATATGACAAAAACATAAAATAAAGGATGCTGACACTGGGATACAGAATGTGAGATTGCTTTCCTGGAATTGAATAATTGTCTGATGTCCGCCCCTGTACTAGTGTATCCACAGAAAACAGGGGAATATGTGCTGGATACGGACGCAAGTGAAACGGGTATTGGTGCTGTCTTATTACAGGTCCAAGATGAAAAGAAAAGGGTGATAGTGTATGGCAGCAGGTCGCTTAGTAAAGCGGAAAGAAATATTGCGAAAAAAGGATTA